ACTAGCATATAACCCTACCCAAGCCTATCTCCCTTAACCATAAATCCTGTTGCGAGCGCCCGTGGCTGTACCATAATAAACTATAATGGTAAAGATCAGATGATATAGACTGGAATGTGCATATGGCGTTGGTGTTAGCTATATGTATGTGGATAGATCACAAAGAACATCAAACTTAATTAAAGCTGTACAGCAGCTTTCTCGGGTACACGTTTAAAGGTTGAATATGCTTTAATATGTACGCGCTGATATCCATGCTAATTTTCCCAGAAGACTGATTGGTCATACATGCTACATGCAAAATAGCAAGTTGATAGGTTAAAGCATTCAGGAGACACACATGTCCCAATTTGTGGCTCACTTTTGCCAGAAATCCAATATGGCGGCCAAACCACGGACTATTTTTTTTTTCATTTCTCACAATAAGCTTTAACCATACATGTCATAAACAAAATATCATATTGATTCCAAAAGCATTATGGAGAAACATATCCGAAATATTTTGGTCACAGTTGTGAAAAAGAGAAAGATGGTATATTAAAAAATAGGACAACTGGGACATCAGTAAAAAAAAAACTACTTTCTCTTTTAGGAGAAATCTAATATGGCGACCAAACCACGCGACCAGCGTCCCAAAATTTGCAACTACGCGCCACGTATGTGCGAGCTATGAGACTCATATGAACAAAGATGGCGTATTTGACTGCTGTGCAGACCAGCAGTACACACTGAGGCGTTACTAGGCTTTCACTGTGTAAGGTCTTTGATGATTGGAAGGTATCAGAAGTCACCGGTGGTAATTAGTGCACGTTGCGCCAAGGACAAACCTCGTACTCACAAATTCCGCCAGAAGAGAGAAATTGGATTTGTGGGGAAAAAAATAATGTTCATCAACACAAATGTCGCACATGCACAGAGCGACAACGACCAACCTTTAAATAAAACATATTGTTTTTTTAATTTAAATACTGTGTCTCACTTTTAGAACATCAGTTTGACTGTATGTTTTATTATTAGTTTAAACTCAGAGTTACATTTATACCAACCAACACATCCGAGTTCGATTATTACTTCCTTGAATATAGCAGTCAGTAGGTAAGAAGTAATTGAGTGAGAAGATGAAATTATATCATAGATGATTGACCTCACTGCGGTTGATTTTTTAGTAATCGAAATGATACCACATATCCATCTTCTTCTTGAACATAATTGGAAACTATTATTTTCTGTACTTGTTCCAGAATGTTGTCTTTCAGTAATCGATCCAATACAGGTCCCTCGAGTTGTGATATGAATTTAGTATTGAGGCAAATACAGATAATCCCATCTATAAAAAGTCACAAAACTTAATATGTAATGCGTTAACAAAAGTTAATAAAAAGACAGGAATAATTTGGTTTTATTAATTGTGATTTTTATCCTTGTCTGAATGTTGTGTTTAGTTTTTAAATATCAATAAAAATATAAATTAACTTACTTGGTTTCAGTATTCTACTCCATTCTATCAAACATTTATCATTTAGATGTCCATCAATGAAAGCACCACAACAAACAATGCCATCATATGTGTCTGCCAATGATAGAAATATTTTATGGAAATAAGAACTTGATCAATGTTTCAGTTGATGTGTTATTAATAAAAACATATCAAACGTCCAACACCAACTCAACAAATTTCCAAAGTCATTTAAATGTATTAACGTGTACTATAAATACTTACCTGGCTTAATTGTCATAATCGGATGCTCATTCAATTTTGCACATATTAGTTGTCTATAACAGCCTTTGAGTTCGGCTTTTTGCAAACTATCGTCAGAAAGATCAACGGCGTCAATGTTTCTGTATCCAAGGTGTTTAAGCTAGACAAAAGAAGAAACACAACTGAGACACACATTGAAAATCGAAGTCACAATCGGGAAGCAAAATTACACAACATTATAAACAATTAGTATACACACAGTTATTGAATATAACATATGCTCTTACCTCCAACCCAACAAGACCTGTTCCTGCTGCACAATCTAAAACGTAGGCATTGCGTTCAGGCAACAAGTCAGACAAACATTTCGCTGTATATTTTGGTGCATTCCAACCCAAGAGTGCAGCTTCCTGTAGTGAGAGTAAAATGCATTATGTTATACATAGATATTTACCGAGGTATTTCACAATAGCTGAAATATAAAACAAGAATATAATGCTAAGTGCTAATAACATAAATAGAGTAAACCCATAATTTATAAAAACAAATGTGCAATATTTAGACTAGTGTTCATCGTCCTGGCTTCCGCCACAAAAGATAGCTCACTGGTTTGAAAATGACCGACATACTTATATGACTGTGTGTAGTCTATCAACTGTCTGAAAAAAGCTTATTGCTTTATGTGTCAATCAGCTGCATTATTGTTGTAACACTCGTAATTGTAATCAACTTGGTAGGCTATACACTACACTGGTTATGCTTTCAGATGTATTCATTATTATAGTGGCATACATAGTAACTAAAGAATGTCTGAATCACCCATCAATTTTAACACGTTTCAGCTAAATGCTGTCCGCCTAAGACGGATATAATTAATCCGACATAACCTTGTTTTACAATTGTGTAAATTAAAGAGACACAGTTTGAAATGTGTGTGTGTTTTTAATTTCGACGTAACATACCTTTTCAAAAGTTTTACTCCATGTATTATAGTGTTCCCTTATCTCCTGTGACGATTTCGTCGAATCACGAATAGTTACCATATTACGAAATGCTCGGTCAACGTTTTCATTGGTTGCCATACTTGCATGAAACAAGATAAATGCTAATATCGTGTTGGTATCTGTAATGTGAAAGACACACATTCAATGTAGCGTTTTCATACTTAATAAACATAGTACAACTATTGGTTATCTATACATCAATATTTCAAATGTTCAAAGGGCGTTTTATTATGGCGACATGTAGTTTATTAAATATTATGGTTCCCACAGGAAGCATCAATATGAAATTCCTCAACTGGTTTTTAACAAATAATAAAAAATATTTGCATTCTGTCAAACTACCAGAAAGAAGGTATCAGAAATAAGATTGTATCTTCATATTGTTCGAATATTTTATTTATCAGTACAATGTATAATACAAAACGTTAATAATAAAAGTAAAGTGTGACTCCACAATTGCTTGCAATACAACCATTCAATTCTCACGTACAATCTCGGATTATGCTTAAGTGCACCACAAGCACTTTAGTTTATGCGTTTTTCAATTGACCTTACTATTTTTGTTTTACCCGGTAATTGTATTGAACTATTCTGTTTACTTTGTACTAGTCATCCAACTCCTTGCAGAAACTTATTTCGTACTCGACGTCCGAAGATTAAAAAAGCGAATTTAAAATGCGTTATGCGAGCAGTTTCTAATGTAACTTTTAAATCACTTTAACTCTATACACCAATACGTCTCAACGTCAAATGTTTTTTTAAGCAGCCAGGTAATGCCCACGTGATATATATTATTGAGTCACATCATAGACTGTATTAATGTGTGCTTGGAAACGAAGTATTCTGTGTACACATTGGTTGATGTATCCTCGGGGGCGGAGCTACGTCACAAGACGTTCCACGTTGCTAAGACACGCACCACTGTACATGCATTTCTATGGACTCTGTGCGCGCTGCTGTGGAACGCCGGTTGAGCCAGTGAAAATTCGAGAAAACAACACAAACTCAACTTTGAAGTAATCCTGAACAACCAAATTTATATATGTTACACACGTAGGGCTAATCTTGTTACACTGTTCAGAGGAATCTCAACAACCATCCTAAAGTATCGTTCTCTGCGAGTTGTTGGCCTTTGTTTTCATCGCAGGGGTTGCCAAGCGGTGAAAATGCCCGGATGTCTGCCCGGATATAAATTGTTGCCGGTTATTGTTGGTACTCTTCATAAAGGCAATTGTGATTTTAGACATATCGGTTGTAAAACATTTTACAATTATTAAATTTAACTAGTTACATAAATACATGGTATCTGCCCAGGGATTGTTGGTGTAATTAAATTGGAGTATGGGCACCCAATCTCGAACATAATTTTGTAAAAACGCCTTATAATGCGTACAAACATTTAAAAAAAATAATCCATTCTGTACGAGAACATAAAAACCAGCTCTTTATTGCGAGGGGATTCACCGGAATTCTGAACGTCGTGTATGATAATATACATGTTCACCAAGACGATTGGGGAGATTCACAAAATGAACCAGATGTG